CAATTCTCAATACCAAATGACAAACCTCCTTGAAAGAATACTTCGCCAAATCCCCTAATTAATAACAAACATAGCTGAATTTCGAAATTTTGTTTGTATATGTATATTAACATCCTCTCCTCCACTCAAGCATAGATGATTGTTTTATTTGAAATTTTCTGTGAATTTGCAAGGGAAAATGTCATTTGATTGGTGCAGTATTGATTATATATTATGTACTATACTACTTCATATGCATGTCTATTGCTTTGATTGGCCTTATATCAACCTGAACAATCAATTAAAAATTAACAATATATTACTTAAGTTAGAGATGACTCAAGTTTATTTAAGATGTAAGACAAAAAAAATTACGTGAGATTGAAATTTTATTTACAATTTATTTTTCTAACCTTTGGAAATACAAAATTACTAGTTAAACTTTATATTCAAATTTTACCACCATATTATTTTCAATTTATATGATGACTAATCTGTTTAAATATTTCTTGTGACATGTATAGTCAATCTTAAATATTATTTTATCAATTTTAATGCTTTTTTCTAAAAAAAAATGTTACATATATTGTCTATAACATTTTGTAAGCATGACAAACTCTAAAAGAATGGCTTTTGTCTAAATAACTCAAAAAGTAAAAACTTATTTACTTTCGGCTAAAAAAAAACTAAGCATTCACTAACAAACAAGTAACTTTTTTTATCAATTATTTAATGCATCAATTTTTATTACTGTTATAAAAAAAATAAAAAATAAACAACTAAAAAAAATAATTGCCAAGCTCAACAATTACATAACAAGAAAAGGTCTCAAATAATTATAAAAAGAGAGAAACCCACATATAAGTAGTAATAATTGAGCCCCTAACTTTAGGTTTGTTTAACAATCACTTGCTGACATTAATACACGAGTTCACACTACAATTTCGACAAAATGTGGTCATCACTAGCAGTGATGTATAATGCTAGACCAGGAGAGATAAGGATAGAGTGAAGACTAAGCAAATTAAAGATCCACCACACAAGCATTGATTTTCTTTTTTATTTATTTATTTATCATTATTAGTATTTTGCATAGATTTCTTGGTCAAGCACGTGATTTTCTACTAACTTATTCAACTCAATTTGCTGGCAAGTCTATATCTAAACCTAATTTGTACGAAAGTGTTACTTTAGTAAATGAAAATAGGAGGATAGGCCGGTTATTTGGAGTGTCTTAAATAAGTGTATTTTTTATTTTTTTGGATTAAAAAATTAAGGAAAAAAATATGGATATTCGGGTAAATTTTTTGACTTTTTATGAAAAAATGTGTATTAAAAAATTGTATAAATTAGTGCGTAGGGAAAAATTAGGATTGAAAGTTGTACAGCCGTAATTTTTTACTTTTAGTGAATAGTGATAATTTTTTAACTTTTTAAATAACTTTTTGACTTTTTAACTTTTTAACTTTTTTTTAACTTACCAAACTTGACCTAAATAAAAGCAAAGTGATATTCCATTGCAAAGTTCGTATAATTTCACATTGACCTAAAGGCCTATTCTCACATTACATCATTATATTCTTTTATGAAATAATAAAGTTAATTACAATTAGCATTTATGTATTTTATCTTATCTCACTTTCCTTTCTTTACTTTCAATTGTAATGGTTAACCTTCTACTCTCTACATTTTAAGTCAAGCTACAATTAAATATTTTTACATGATAACTTTAGCCTTATTTTTTATTAACATGCTTATATGGTAATACATATTTAAAACTTTAGCATTTCATAAGTTTTAAAATATTCATACTTCATAAATGCATTTACAACTTATGAAATTTAAAATGGTCTAAATAATTTAATAGCCTTTCAGAACAATAACTAAATAATTTATATTTATTAGGTTTAGTGGATGAATTTGAGATTTAAACATTTTTTTTTTTATCAGACTTGGGGATGCCTAGTTAAGTTCGATGTAGGCCGGACCAAGCTTAAGATTTCACATATAATTTTTAATATAGTATTGGGCGAACTTGACCCAGTCCGCTATTTGTCCACCAACTGTTAGCTAAAAAGAAAAAAATCATATATCTGGATTACATTTAGGTCATGTTTGTTTGGGTGGACATGAGTTTGGGATTGGACTAATAGTCCAATAAAATTATTAATCCGATGTTTGGTTAAACAATTGAAGTACGGACTAATTATTTTAAACTTGACTATTAGTTAAGATAGGATACATAATCCAACAGATTCGTAATCCTAGGACTATTAGTCATGAGAATGTTAATCCAGTCCGCCCAAACAAACATGGCCTTAGGTTTCGTTTGGAAAGTGGATTGACTTTTTGATTTTTAACTATTTTAGTTTAGGACTAAAATGTTCATTTTGGTTGATTTTTTTAAATTTTGTAAATGAAAAAGTGAAATGGTTATAATTTAGTTGTATTATTTTATCTTATTAATTTTTAATCTATTTTCTCTTTCTTATAATAATCTAGACGAAAAATTAAAAAGGTTCACCTGCCAAACAACGGCTAAATGAAATCACTTTCGGTCTCTAAAAGAACATTTGTACCATTTTAATGATTAATTAAAGGAGGTATATGTATAATTGTTGGTTGAAGATAATTAAAAATAATATTGGAATGTAGTTAAAGGGTTTGTGTAATTAAGAGTAATAATTCATAACTCTAAATTTGTAACACTAACAATGATATTAATGGTATGACATAGAACAAAAAAAAAAAAAAATACATCCAATTATTTATAAATGAAATTTACTGTCACATAAATAAAATTTTCTTTAGAGTTCTACTTTTAATATGCTCTTAAGCATTTTTGGTGTAGTTAATTGACCGTACTACAGATCAAAATATCCGAGAAGAAAGAGACAAGAAAATGTCTTGCGGATGAAAGCAAGCGTTTGCAGCAGCCCCTTTGGAATTCAACAGCCCCTTATAATTATTATTATTATTTTGTTTTTTATAACTTTTTGTGGGGAAGACATAGAAACCTAGCCATTGAAATACATACAAATCAAATCATCCTTTCATTTTCACTCCAAAGAATGGTTACTTTAATTATTATTTAAAATTTTACAAACAGACATATAAAAATAAAGAGAATAATATAATAATTTATCGTAAATTTTTAACTTTCACACTCAAATCTCAAGTTTCCAAACAGGACAATCTAACGTAACATATGCAATTTATTATATATTTTTTTATGAGTTGAGTTTTATATTGAGATCTCAGTATGAAAGAACTTGAGGAGACTATAGAGCTCACCATGAATCCCATTTTAATGATCCAAATCATTTATTTTATAAAACTCTCAATATAATATTCATAAAAAAATTAGTTTGATCCAATGTTTGTAACTTTTTTTATTTTATTGTATTTGTCACTGAAAAATAGATTACAAATATATTTTTGAAATATATCATTTATTTTTTTAGAGACAAATGATATAAAATAAAAATGTAACAATTATCAGATTGATCTAAATTTTTTCATGGATATTATACATTGAAGGCTCTACAAAATAAATGGTTCGGATCATTGAAACTTGACTTGTGGTAGGCCCGATAAGCCCCTCCAGTTCTCTCATATTGAAATCTCAATATGAGAGAAATCCAACCATTTTTTATTTATATATTTTGTATATTTACAATAAATATTGTGTAATATTGAAACATAGTTAAGAGAGAAATAATGATTTTTTTTTTTTTTTGGACAACTTTTTGCAGATACAAACCTTTTGAGTACGTGATATCTTCGCATATCGATATTGGAGCTTACTATTATCACGACCCCATCCCGTCTCTAAATTGTAGGTTGTTTGGCATCTCTTAACTTATTTGGATCACATCACTTTTTTTTTTATATATTTTTTAAAATTTATTTAAATTATTTCAAATTAATGTCTTTCTATCCAAACTGATTTTGTATTTCTAAATTAGTATCTTCCTATCAAAAGTATATTCGAATTTACTCCATCTACAATTTTTGAATTTTCCAATCTATTTTATCCATTTTTATTTTTAATTATATCCATTTATATAATTAGTGACAATAGAATCATTTAGTGGGAGTTGATGGGAATATAAGAATTTTTTTAAGCCTAGAGTGAGAACAATTTTCTAATAAATGCTTCTAGACTCTAAACAATATCCTAATAAATGCCTCTAGGGTCAAAATAATATTTTGTTAGTAAGAAAGGAGTAATAATTTTTTTTTGAATAATGTTACACTTTGTGACAATATTATATATTTTTGACCAAAATATTTTTAAATCACATTTTACATTAACATAAATATTTATAATATTACCATAAAAATACATAATTTTATTTTTAAATTCTGAATATTAAAAAATAATTAAATTATATTTATTACAAAAACACATAATATATACATTTAAAAAAACAAAACTTAGAAACTCTAAAAATTTTATCAAAAATTCTACTAAATATTTTACATGAGTGTGAGATTCACATGAGACTAACTTTGTGTGGGTTTCACATCCACATTTAATAAAATTTTTGGTAAAATTTTAGTCTCTAACATTATTCTTAAAAAAAAATACATAATAAAGTGAAGAAAATGTTATGAATCTTAAATAATTAATAAATGTTTTATTAAGTCTCTCAGTATGAAACCCACACAAACTTACAAATATCAATATGAGGAATATTTTATTATTAGAGAATCTAACATTACTCATAAAGTGACGATTCATAGCCTACAGACATGTGTGCCGAATGGGATTCCCTAAAGCTAACATCAACACCACCCATCACACAGACACACATCAACTCTCCCTCTCCCTCTCCCTCTCCCTCCACCAAGGATCTTAACCTAAAGTTTCTTAGAGTACTACATTGTGTGATTGAGATTTACTGGCAAGTCACATTAGAAAAATTGATGTGACTTGCCAGTAAATCTTAACCACATAATGTAACACTCTAAGAAACTTTAGGGAAAAATCACTCTAGAGGATCCTTGCTCCTCTCCCTCTCCCTCTCCCTCTCTCTCTCTCTCTCGTGAATTATTAGTATCAGACCCAGCTCTTACAGAGGTCCTCTCTGTCTCCTCTCTCACTCATACTTCTCTCCCTCCACATGTGAATTAGAGCCCAACCAAGTTCTCCATTTTACTAATCTCTCTCTCTCTCTCTCTCTGTGTGTACTTACATCAAAAGGTGGTTGAAATGAAGAGGATTATTCTGTATGATCTGATTTGTGTGGCTTTGATGGGAGTTTTAATATGGGGAGAAGAAGACAAGTTAGTAAGTCCACAACAGTTGGAAATGTTTGTTGATGATCTTCCTGATATGCCCAAGTTACCTGCTTACAACCTTGTCAATGGCGTCCCCATTTCTAAGTCACTCAAGATTGGAATGTTCCAGAAGACATGGGTAAGCCGAGCATAATCCCCCCATCTCTCTCTGTTTCTCTGTTTTAGATACTTTTGGGTATTAATATTCACTTCTTATTTTTTTTTTTTTTTTTTATACCCCTCATCTCATATATCACAAATATCTACGTTGTAAAAAATATTTGTTCATTTGAATTTAAAGAAAATTTTTTATCCCAATAATATTGGACCTAGAAAAGTGGGTTCCAAATTACAATTCTACTCTGTAATTATTTAAATTTTAGTTTTTTTTTCTTTTTGCAAAATTAGTAATTAGATTTTTATATTTATGTTTTACTAAAAAAAAAACTAGAGTAATGAAGGATTATGAAAAAAATATCATAAAATATTTTGTGAAGATTTTTCATCTTTTCATAACGTGTACTGTTTGATTGTATTTGTAATTCAATAGTAGAGAATTTTTATAAAGTATTTCATAATATTTTTTTTCATAATCTTTAGCCTTAGTCAAAAAACTTATGTTGTAATTTATTTTTATATTTATGTTTTACTAAAAAAAACATAGTAATTAAAAAACTCATATCATAATTTATTTTTATTTTGATATTTTATTTTATAAAATTCATGGGTATTATGCTGGTTATACTAATTATAATTAAGGCAATTCTTGTGTGTGTAAGTACATGTATACTTGCATAAGTTCTCATAATCATACGTAAGTTATTTCACAAAATTGTTTAAATTTTCACAAATATACGTAAGTTAACTCGTAAAAATTTAAGAGATTATAACTTATGTATATTTATAAAAATTCACACAATTTTATGAGATAATTTATGTATATTTATAAAAACTTATGTAAATACATATAATATGTACTTTGCACATCTAAACCCTTATCAATTAATTATATGTTGCAAGAGTTGGTGATTTGTTCTTTAATAAGAGAGTAATAATATCAGGGATCATGAAAAAAATATAATGAAATGTTTTATAAAGATTTTTTATTTAGTGTGTGATATTTTTTTGTAAGTATAATCTAATAGTAAAATTTTTTTCATGATACCTAACATTACTTATCAGAGAGATAGAATGTGTTTTTTTGTTTAGAAGTTTATTTTTCGTTTTTTTTTTTTCTTTATTGTTTTGGCAGAGAGGGAGAGGAGGGAAATCATAATGATGATGAGAGATATAATAATAGGATAATATCTTTTTTGTGTATTAAATACAATTTAATGACAATTCATTTGGTCAACTTTTACTTCTGTTTTTTTGGCTCAATTTTTTAGTATTGCTTCTATTTTTATTTTTATGTGATACATACACACACACAATAAATTAAAAAAAATAGATCTTTTATTAGGGGAGACTTTAGATGAGCGCCACTGCTGATGTTATGTGAGCTTAGGGCATTTGGGTTTGGTGGTTATTTTATTTTATTTTATTGAATAAATTACAAATATATCCCTGAGACTTATTTAAAATATAAATTATTTCTTATGGTTTGAAAAATTACAAATACTTCTCTATTAAAAATTTTTTATTTAACATAATTAATCAAAAAGTGAAATTTCTAACTGTTCACTTATACAATAATAAAATTAGCTGAATTATTAATTGAAATAAAATTTTAACATTATTAAAAACTATTAATTAACTTGATAATTTATTAATAAAATGACCTATTTGTTATGAAATTAGAAACCTTGTGGGGCATAATGTAATTTCTAAAACTATAAAGGGTAATAATTTAAGTAAATCTCAAGGGCTGTGTTTGCAATTTATCTTATTTTGTTTGGAAGTATGTGTCAAAATATTTGGTATATTTGTGTTTATAATTTATAATTTATGTGACAAAAATATTTTTAAAAAGTTGGAAATACTTTTAATTTCTGCATTTTAAATTGGAGAAAATTACGAATCAATGAAAAGTATAGATATTAATTGTAAATTGAGACTGTGTTTGGTTTCAATTTAAATTAAATTTTTTGTTTTTCATATTTTTTATTTTTAATGAAAATTTCTAAAATTTTACACTATTTTTTATATTTTTTTTAAATGCATCTTACTTAGATATATCTAAAAAGTAAAATATTTGTAAAACAAATATTTTAAAAAAATCAATAAATATACAAGAATATGAAAATGTATTGAATTTTTGTATTTTTGATATTTAGTGATTTTTTTCACAAATATTATATTTTTTAAGTGCATTTATATTAGGTGTATCTAAAAATTAAAAAAATTGATTAAAATATTAAAAAATTTGGTAAAAACAAAAATATATGAAAAACAAAAAATTTAAATATATGAAAAGTGAATCCTAAAAAGTAAAACCAAACAAGCTACTACACCGGTACAATCGGGAGTTGTGTTTAAAATCATAATCTTTACATGCACCAGATTATAGACTTACTTATATTTTCATAATTTTGTAATTATTTTTATTTTTAATTTTCATGGATTTACTATTTCCTTTTAAATTATCAATTTTTAGTTCATCAGAAATTGCACAGAACAGAATAGAACATTGTCCAAAACTTGCATATAGTACATTGGTGTCATAGAATTGGGATCCTCCCCTCGCACTTCCTCCTTGCAGAGCCTTCGGGGCCACTTTTAGGCTTACTTTTGATAATTCAAACCGTTCATATTTTAAAATTTATTCAGTAAATAATACCTGTTAAAAATCAAGTTGATCGGATATCAGAAAGTATGTGTTCGGAAAACTGTTTATTAAATTCTTTAAAAAAATAGTTTTTAGTTCGATTTTTCCGAACACATGCTTTTTGAAATCAGATCAACTTGATTTTTTACAGGTATGATATACTGAATAAATTTTAAAATATGAACAGTTCAAATTATCAAAATTGGGCCTAAAAGTGGGCCCGAAGACCCTGCAAGAAGTTATTTTTGGACAAAAAAAAAAAAAACACTTTGGAGACAACCAAAAAAAAATAAAATTTGAATGTCGGTCGAACTCAACTACTTTCTCAAGGGGAAAAAAAAAATAAAAATAAAAACCTACTGATTGGGATGACTCCTAACAATTCAATCCGGGTATGGCACCAACATTCTATATGCAAGTTCATCAATTTGAATAGGAACTCATTATTGGTAAAACAGGCAGTCCCTCAAATTTTGGACAATGCTCTATTCTGTTCTGTGTAATTTCTGATGAACTAAAAATTGATAATTTAAAAGGAAATAGTAAATCCATGAAAATTAAAAATAAAAATAATTACAAAATTATGAAAATATAAGAAAGTCTATAATGTGGTGCATGTAAAGATTAAACACAACTCCCGCTTGTACCGGAGTAGTTGCTTGTTTGGTTTGACTTTGGAAAATGTTTGGTAGCTCAAATTTTTGTGGCTCAAATGGCTCAAATCTGTCAAAACGACGTCATTTTGACAGATTTTGAGTGTAAAACGACGTCGTTTTGACAGATTTGAGCCATTTGAGCCACAAAAATTTGAGCTACCAAACATTTTCCAAAGTCAAACCAAACAAGCAACTACTCCGGTACAAGCGGGAGTTGTGTTTAATCTTTACATGCACCACATTATAGACTTTCTTATATTTTCATAATTTTGTAATTATTTTTATTTTTAATTTTCATGGATTTACTATTTCCTTTTAAATTATCAATTTTTAGTTCATCAGAAATTACACAGAACAGAATAGAGCATTGTCCAAAATTTGAGGGACTGCCTGTTTTACCAATAATGAGTTCCTATTCAAATTGATGAACTTGCATATAGAATGTTGGTGCCATACCCGGATTGAATTGTTAGGAGTCATCCCAATCAGTAGGTTTTTATTTTTATTTTTTTTTTCCCCTTGAGAAAGTAGTTGAGTTCGACCGACATTCAAATTTTATTTTTTTTTGGTTGTCTCCAAAGTGTTTTTTTTTTTTTTTTTTTTTTTTTCCAAAAGTAACTGCTTTTGGCTTTTTTTTTTTTGTAGTCCTTTCTGGATTTTTTTATCAAGTTTTTTTTTTTTTTTTTTGAAACTTTTACATTTCTGTCTAGTCAAGAACAAAAAAATGTAATTTTTTATTGAATTTTTTTTTAAAAAAATCACTAAAAACCAACCAGTTGTCCACTGTTTAACTGTGAATGTGAATCCAAACCAACCTATTTTCGTGAAATTATTTACTGTTTCATGATTGAGTTTAGGCGGTACTCTAAATTGATAGTTATTAATTTAAATTATATAACCCACCACTTCAGTGTTAAAGTTTTAGAGACTATATGAACGGTATCAATTAATAAATAGAATAAAACTTTGTTTGAATAATTTTTTTAAAAATCTTTTTTCTATTTTTTTGTTTGCTTTTTTATACCATCCACCGTGTAATTGTGAGAGGAAAAATGGAATGAATACCACATGCCGGGCTGTCTCGTAAAAAAGAATGTCATTGTTATCTACTTGTTCACTTTAGGATTGTTTAATCTATTAAGGAATAGCTTATCTTCTTCAAATTCACTTTAAAATCTTATTATATATCAAGAATTGTTAAACTATGACAATTTATCAAACACATAACTTTCTCTTTTTTATTTTATATTTTCTTAATTATCATCAACTACTAAAGCATATATATTGCGGGCCATCAATATTTTTTATTTTTGCTTTTTGTTTTACTACTTTAGTAGTTGAGAAAAAGTTGAGAATTTTATAAAATCAATATATCAAACCATTTATTCTTTTGGCATAGATACATTGAAGTGTGTTCAAAAGACTACTCTTTCCTGAATGAAGTCACTTGTTTTGACGGTTGTGATTTGTTCTTTTGCTAATTTGCAGAAATTTCATAGGGATCTTCCTCCAACCCGCGTGTTTGCCTACGGTACAAGCAAGCACACCGCAACGGTCCCTGGTCCAACGATTGAGGCCCTCCATGGGATCGACACTTACGTGACGTGGCAAAATCACCTTCCTTCAAAGCACATACTTCCTTGGGACCCAACTATCCCAACTGCCATCCCAACCACCAAGAAGGGCATTCCTACGGTGGTTCACCTCCACGGTAGCATCGGTGAGCCAGAGAGTGATGGACATGCACAGTCATGGTTCACCGCCCGATTTGAAGAAAAAGGACCCACTTGGACGAAGAAAACATATCACTACTACAACCATCAACAACCAGGAAATCTATGGTACCATGATCATGCAATGGGGTTGACCAGAGTCAACCTTCTAGCCGGCTTGATTGGGGCCTACATCATCCGCCACCCTGCGATTGAAGACCCACTTGGCCTCCCATTTGGTGATGAATTTGATCGTCCGTTGATTGTCTTTGATCGTAGCTTTCGTACCGATGGTTCATTATTCATGAACTCTACTGGAAATAATCCCACCATACATCCTCAATGGCAGCCTGAGTATTTTGGTGATGCTATTATTGTAAATGGCAAAGCTTGGCCTCGCATGATCGTACGGCGGAGAAAGTATCGATTTCGGATCATCAATGCAAGTAATGCTCGATTTTTTAAGTTCTTCTTCACCAATGGTCTAAGATTTATCCACGTGGCATCTGATTCAGTCTACGTTGAACGGCCAGTGACACTCAAAGAGATCCTTCTAGCCCCATCTGAGATTGCTGACGTGATTGTTGACTTTTCAAAATCAAAGTTTGGTTCAGTTATCCTCTCCAATGACGCAGTATATCCATACCCATCAGGTGACCCGGTCAACAAATTCAATGACAAAGTTATGAAGTTCATCATAAAAAATGAACGTGAGATTGATACGCGGTACGTACCCAATAAGCTGATCAAATATCCATACCCTAATTTATCCAGTGCTTCGGTAACACGATATATCGCTATGTTTGAGTACACAAGCAACATTGATGAGCCTACACATTTGTATCTAAATGCGAAATCATACGAACAACCGGTGACTGAGATGCCAAAAGTAGGGACCACAGAGGTTTGGAACGTGATCAATCTAACGGGGGACAATCACCCTTTGCACATCCATTTGGGTCTATTTGCGGTGTTAGATCAGACGGAATTGGTAGGCATTGATGAGTTTCGAAATTGTATGGTGAAGATGAACGATGCGATCAAGTGCCAAATAAGCAAGTACGCACGTGGCAACAGGACGGAAGTGCTTGCCCATGAGAAAGGGTGGAAGAACGTGTACAAGATGACTCCTGGATTTGTCACCAAGATCCTAGTGAGGTTTTCTTACATACATTCAAATGCATCATACGTGTTCGATGCAACTGCAGAGCCTGGTTATGTCTACCATTGCCACGTAAGTACTCAGCTCATCTCATCTCATCTCATCTCATCTCCGTTTGAAATAAGTTTAACTGATTGATAATTATACTTAAAAAATTGCGAAAAAATACCTGCAATCTTATCACGGGTGAATACAAAAAGCTTCTCGAATCTGTCGTATTGCCTGCCTAAATAGTAAAATAGTAATTAATGAGCCCTCTCATGTCAGCTAAATTCCAAAACCACACCCCCAAATTCCACAGCCTTTGTTTTGTTCGACTTGTTTTCATTCCTATCCCGCTTAAAAACGAGAGAGTTATGGGCTGTTAAGGCTTGTTTGGTATCATCTCTGAAACTTGCTTTTGTTTGTTGAAAAATTTATAAATGAAAAAACATTAAAGTTGGCTCATAGCTGTTTTTCAGTTAATCTAAAGATGTCTTCAAAAATAGATTTTAAAAATACTTGGCAAAATGTGTATTTTTTGCCATTTCATATTATTTTCTTGATATTACGTGTTAATGTAATGTATTTGAAGAACATGCCAAAAAAAAGGTAATTTGTTTATTCAATGTCTACTAACCATCTGCATTAGTTTTCGTCACTAAAAAGTATGCCAGTGTAATTATGTCAAAAGTGTAGAATTAGCTGTATTATTTTCAAACTTTAATGCTGTGTTTGGTTGGGAGATTTGGAGAGGGATTTGGAAAGGGAAAGGGAAAAGGTGTGTGAAACTATGTGAAATATAGGCATGATTTATTCACATTTCACCTACCTTTTCCATTTCCGTTTCCAAATCCCTTCCCAAATCTCCAAACCAAACACATCATAAGGGAAGTGAATGTAATTTACCAAAAAAAAAAAAAAGAAGTAAAGTTTTATGTATTGGTTATGTTTATTAATAGCTAGTACTCTGTTTTACTAATTGCTCTTTTGTTTTAAATTTTGCATAAATGCAGATATTGGATCATGAAGACAATGTAATGATGAGGCCTTTGAAGTTCATCAAGTGAGAAGGGCCATCCCAAATAAATAGGCAAAATTTCAGAAATGGTCACTTTTCATTGGACTTACTCTCTTCATTTATATTGAATACCTTCCATAGAACAAAAATACTAAGGACATTTAATCAACCACAAAACCAAAAATCAAATATTTATGATGGGTTCCGATTATACATGTTTTGTGGTTGGTTCTTTGGTTGATTTTGTGTCCATATCCAGTAGCATTAAATGCTAAAGATGTTCATAAGGCTTTCCATTTTCTTCTCTTGTAATTCTTTTCATTTTGTTTTTATTTTTTGCAGGATCTTTAATCTATCCATTACAATTTATGTGTGATTAATACTAATAAGCACAGCTGCACAGATCTATCATATATTAATTATATTTTCAGTAAGAATTTTGTTAACATTTATGGAATGGAAATGCTATACAAATAAACTTATTTTACTAAACTCATGTCACATTGAGTGTTTAAAATTTGGAATGAGAAATCACTGTGTTATATCGGATTGTAAACAAATATTTGTTTATTTAACAACTAATCTTATGCATAGAAGATGAATTTCAAACTTTAATGTTGTTTGGAAAATTGTTTTTTCTGTATTTCGAACAACTCGTGATTGTTAAACAATTTGAATGTTGATGACTAGCAATATTATGCCTAGGAAAAAAAAAATATAGAAAATTAGTGCATGATTTAAGTTCATTATGAATGTGGACTATGCCTATTAATGAATTTAAATCATACATTAATTTTTCTATACTTGAAATAGTTTCTCATTCCCGACCTAAGATCACACTTACAAATATGTTTCCAAAATTATCCAAAAACAAAATAAAAATCACAACCCTATATAGCTCAGATATTTTTGTACATTTTTTTGGGTCACATTTTAAATAAAAACATATGATTACTTAAGTTTCTTTTGAGAAGTGTCAAAAAAATTAGTTTAGAGCAATGATTGAGACCCTCATCCCTGCACGACCCTCACAAATCTGGACTATTCATGATTTACAACCCACTTATGTATGTGTGGGGTTTACATAGAGGGTCAAAATCACTTTGGTGGTGTTGGGGTCATTCTCAAAAAGAGTCCCAAACATTTTCCATTAGTTTATTTGTTTGTTTTGTTTATTTGAGTCATGTCACTTCTTTATTTTTATATCTTTTTTTTTTGTAATAAGTAAAAGAGTCGGCTTTTCATTAAGGTTAGGAGTACAAATTTTGTAAACAGTTATTTTAAAAGGCTACTAATACATTGAAAAATTTAGAAATTTTCTAGATGTTGATTTGTGATTATGTATCAATTTTAAGCAGTAAATATCAATTCTAATCAAACAATCAAGACAAATCGACACAACGATTTTAACGTGAAAAAATCACAATTGGAGCGCCTACAATTGTGATAAAAAAACCATGGGCAAAATCTGCAAAACAATGAACTAAGAAGACATAAAGGAATTACACAAGTGTACTCTCAATTACCTAGCAAATCCATGCTTGAATCGAACCGACCCCTATGTGTCTCTTCCAGCTTCGTCTTCACCTTGAAATTGTCTTTTCTAACGCTGAATCCACAACACCGATGTTAACTCACACGATGAGCCACTTTGAAATCTACCAAAGTTTTAGGCCCGAATTCCTTAGAATCCACCAAAGAAGAACACTCTCTATTGTATAGAATAAAGAAACAATCATTTGATGTATACTTCTTAAACTATGAATTCAAATAAACATCAAAGAAACCAAGCAAAATAGCCCCAGATATAAACCCTAATATCCAAGAAGAAGATTTGGAAGTTGTAACCCTAAAATCTGACTGAAACACATATTTATAGCAATTTGTTTCGCGATCTTCGCTCGAGCGCAAGAATGGCCACTTGAGCAAACTGACGTTCAAGCGTAAGAAATTCCGCTCGAGCGGAAAAATGCAACTCCCAGTATTTTTGCAGGTGATCAAATTTCTAGAACCAAAGATTCTCTGCTTTAGCGCACAAATGACCGTTCGAGCGGACAAGCAACTTCGAATGTATTTTTGGCAAATATGAAAGATTTAACTTCTGAAACTTTTCTACAGGGCACAATTCAAGTTGGATTCGCATCTAAAAACTTATAACCTCACCGAAATAAAAAAGTACGAATAAAATTACAAGTTCAAGGAGTTTTGTCAAACGGGATTGCCAAGAATAATAACCTAACATACATAATTTATGTTTATAAAAATAATGTTAAAAATGCAGAACATAACATAAATATGGATACTTACATAAACACATTATATAACATAATTGTTGGGCGGGCCAATTAGAATTGATACAAATTTTCCAATCCTAGCCCATTTTTCAATTGGGCTGAGGAAATTTTGGGTATGTTTGGGAAGAAAGAATTCAAGTAAGAATTCAAGTTTGCTAAAGTTGTCAAAAAGTTAAAAAGTCAAAAAGTTATTTAAAAAGTTAAAAAAGTTATTACTATTCACTAAAAGTCAAAAATTACGGCTGCACAACTCTCAATCTTAATTTTTCCCTATAATTTTTCTCTACAAACCAATTTTTACAATTTTTTAATATATATTTTTCCATAAAAAGTCAAAAAGTTAACCCAAACATCCATATTTTTTCTCTCAATTTTTTAGTCCAAAAAGACAAAAAGTGCACATATTTAGGACACCCCAAACAAAATAAAAAATTTAAAAAGCTAAAAAGTAATAAAAAAGGTCTAAGTTTTATTTTAGCTCTTCTATTATTATTATTTTTTCTAATTTTTTTCATAAGAAGTTAAAAAATGAATTTTAAACACTTTAATTTTTTTTTACCTCATAATTTATTTAAATTTTAACTCAAATTCGTAATCCAAGCACAATCTAACAAAAATTTAGAGAGTAAATTTATAATTTCTTTTAAGTTTTAAAGAAAAACTATAAGCCCAATAATTTTGATATATTGCATTGAATTTCTTAAATATTTTAATTCATATGACAGTTAATTTATTTTAATTAATAATTAATTACTTATATAAATGAAAAAATGATATCATATATTTTACATGAAAATATGTATTTCATGTTATTTTTTTTTTAATGTTTTTGTAATATTTGTATTATTTTTAATTAATTTAATCTTAGTAGACAAGAATTCAAAATAATAATGTGAAAATTATAAAATTTAGGGAGATTTACGTGTCAAGTGAATTTATTGTCCAATAAGTCTTATGATAATTAATGACGTTTTTCATTTAGGCCCCGTTTGGGGACTTACCTTTTTAGCCAAAAAGTTATCCTTTTAGCCAAAAAGCTAACAACTCATACCAAAAAGTCAAAGATTCTCTTTTTTTTTTCTACATTTTGCACATCTTTTCATAATTAGTCAAAAAGTCATCCCAAACATATAAGTTTTTTTTACCTACTTTTTTTAGCCAAATAGCAAAAAAGTTACTAAATTAGCCTGTTCCCAAACGAGGCCTTAATACTATAAAAAAATGTTAGTAATTGTTAATTTTCAGTGACAATTTGAAAATTTTGTCACAAAAAATGTCCTTAATTATAAATTTTAACGATAATTTAAAAAAACAAATTTTTAACTTTCAGTGACAGTTTAAAAAATTTGTTAAAGAAAAAGTCACTAATTGTAAGTTTAGCAATAGTTTATAAAAATCGTGACAAAAAGAAAACATTAATTATAAATTTTTAATGATATATGTAAAAAATATTATAAAAAATTATTTTTAACGATTTTATTAAACTTATTTTTAATAAGAGTCAATAGAATTTAGTTTACCTAAAATTTATTGTACTTTTTTTTATAGAATCTCATGAAAGTTGAGTTTAATTTACCTAAATTTTAAGGGTGATTATTCAGTATTTTTAAAATTTAAAAACGTAGTGTTCGATAAGGTTTTGATATATAGAACGGGATAGACGCCATGATTTATGTTAGAGTGGGAAACAATATGAAAGTTAACTAATTGATGATTACTTAAAATATGATCGCGTGATATCTTGGATTATTAAATAATTTCCCGACATATTTAAGGGACAAAAAACAGTGGCGCAATTTTTCCTCAAATTTGGAAAACAGGGAGGGAAGTATGATGGTAAATCCAGTCCAGTCATGGGCATAGAACATTCGAACACAATCCACAAGCGATGATGGCACTGCTTAATCACAGCCCTACATTCCCCTCCGTCGCCGGCCTCAATCTTCTCCGCCAGCCGCCGTCCTCCGCCGCCAAACCTTTGCCTAATGAACTGAGAATCTCATGTTCCCTCTCTCATCTCCCAAACAAGGTCAGTCATTTCACTCTTACCCTTGCCTTGTTACAATCATCATACCTACAATATAATAATATATCTATGTATAAATGCTTAATTTTATTAAATGCTTGTCCATTAAATTGTGAACAAAAATAAATAATTGTTCAGAATCATATAAATCCCCTTCAATATAGTCCATATCCCAACAATTAAAATGGTATGTATGTAGTGAGATAGATAGAGATTGTTGTGGTCAAATAGAATTAGCTAGGGTGTAAAATGTAAATATATGCTGACAAGTGTTGGTGGTGGGGATGTATGAGCAGTTTAAGAGGGCGTACACAAGCGTGATGATAGTCCCGACTGGTATTGGTGCATCCATCGGTGGCTTTGCCGGAGATGCTCTGCCTGTGGCTCGTGCTATCGCCTCCGTTGTTGACTGCCTTATCTCACACCCAAATGTATGGTTCTATATCTCTGTTGATTGCACTACATTGTTCAACTCACTTGATAACACAAAGTAAAATTTAAAACAAAAAAAAGTGAATTGTAATTTGTAACCCTCTTAAGGTGTGCTTTAATCAAGTTCAAAAAAAAAAAAAAGGTGCTTTAATCATTTGAATTTTTTTAAATTTTAAATTAAACAACTAGAATTGAGCATTGTTGCTAACAATGGTTTTTATTTTTACTATAATATAAACACATGTGAAAAAACGAACACGGAAATATAATTAAGATAATGTTATGCGTTAAGTTAAAATACTCGTTAGCATTCACTTGAAAAAATGAAAATTGGTTAAATGCTCCCCCTTTAATCTCTAGTGTGGTGACAAACGGATGACACATTTATGCTATGTTTGGATGGCTTTTTGAAAGTAAGTTACATAAAAAAGAAAAGGATAAAAAAGAAAGTGATGCTCGCCTTTTTGAAAGTAAGTTACATAAAAAAGAAAAGGTGAAAGACTGTGAATAACTTACAATGAGTTGTATGCTTGGGTTACGGAATCAGTGTCGTTAGGTTCAGATCACTTGATGCAATTTGATCATTGTGAATTATTGTAGCAAACTTGGGCAATGGTCCGATGCCTTAAACGTAGCTTGGACAATGATTAGTGTATCAATTATGCACTTGTCAGGGTTGCCATTGCAGTTCTTGATTATGCATACACAACTTCTTCCCTCTATAAAATCGTCATTGTTTACAGGTTCTTAATGCAGCAATGTTATACTGGCCCATGCCAAATGTATTATATGTTGAGGGTTATGCTCTTGACCGATTTGCAGAAGGTGCCTGGGCATTACAGCTAGTGCATCAAAACAAGGTGTGCTTCGGTTGTTTGTTGTTTACTGCTTAGCATGTGACTGTATATTGAATGTGTTATATGAAACAGGTCGGGTTGGTTCTTGATGCTGCAATAGAGGAAGAGCTTCGTATCCGCCATCTACAAGTGGTTGATGCAACAAGGGCTTCCCTTGGACTGCCAGTCATTGAATATATCGTCACTGACACCCCTTTACAGGTATCAACATACTATACTACAAAAATATCATTAATTAACTCAACTACATAGAACTACCCAATTATTTGGCCCTTTCTTGGGTAAGGATATGCTACAAAAATGAAACTATGCAAATGATGTTGTATATCGTATGGTGCATAATAAATAATTAAATACTTTTTTGTTTGATTGCTACTTGGATTCTTGGTGAACTACTGTGGATGATGTTGGAGCATGTGTGAAAGTAGAGTCTGACATTGGATAAAGAGTAAAAGAGACGAGTCTTAATATATATTAGATGAGCTCTCCACTTATAAGCTTAGGTTTTTAAGTGGGTATGAGTTCCAAATAATGTATGTTGGGCTCTGATATGGTGTTTATGGACTCTAGAGTTTTTTCCTAATGGACTGGGCCAGTATTGCTATACGCTTGTGGGCTCCCTAATTCCCTAACACACGATGCTTTGCTTATTTAGACATAGTGATTGATAAATGTGAACATCACCTTCATTGTACATTTAATGTCAAATCCACCTGAGAAGGGAAAGCAACTCTTCTAAAGTTCATACTGAAGAAGATATAATATGATCCTCCCTGCCAGACGATATAATATGAACCACTTATAAAATACATTGTTGGTAATGGTCAATCCATATTTTTGTGGATGGATAATTGGCACCCATTGGGGCCCTTAGACGAAAAATATGGGGAAAAGTTTGTCCATAATATAGGAAATGCCTTGAGGGCTAAAGTTGCAGACATAATTCAGCAAGGTTGCTGGAATTGGCCAAGACAGAGGAACACTGCATCCAAGAGATAATGACAAATACTCCTAGCTATTTCACTCCCTTGACAAATAAGCTTGATGAAGTTGTCTAGTCCCCTTCCCCTGATGGTTTATCCTCTACAAAATCTGGTTGGGAATCGATTAGAAAGGTGTATAACCAAATCCCCTGGTGTAATATTGTTTGGTTTAAGCAACACATACCCAAATGTGCTTTTATCCTTTGGGTGTTGCATCAAGGCAGATTGTCCACAAAAGATAGACCTAGTAGTTGGGGTATGAATGTGGATCCTTATTTGTGTTTTGTGCAACCAAGCTGAAGAGATTCATCAGCACCTTTTCTTCATTTGTCCCTTGAGAAAATAATGCTATGCAGTAATGGGTTAACAAAAATCCTTTGATCTGGGATGATGAAATTCTACGGGCTATTCAACATCATAATAATAAGAATTTCAGAAGTGCTATTTATAAGCTTTCACTTGTAGCAACTGTTTCAGACTTGGAACGAGAGAAACAATCAAATTTTCACTCAGATAGGGAAGGATAGTCCAGTTATCCATGGAACTGCAGAGGAGGATGTGAGATTCAGTGAAGGATAGTCCAGTTGTACTAATTTTTTGTGGATTTTGTAGGGACATTTGAATAAGTTTTTGATTTATAGTTTATTTATTTATTTTATTTTATTTGTACATGGGTTGCACCCCCTTTGGTGCCTCTTTTTAACGGAATCCTTTAGAAATGCTGTGTTTTCCTCAAGTACTTGATTCTTTATGGACTTTGAGTGTCTTTATTCTACCAACGACCTGGTGTTATACAACTCTTCTTTACAGGTGGAAAAATGGGTTGATTTGAAGACTGGCCAATCAACTGGGAGGGTAAAACACCCTGATTCACTATTGAGGGCTGTACAGACACTAATTAACCAATCTTCGGTTAATGCAATTGCGGTTGTGGCACGCTTTCCAGATGATGATATTGAGGACATGAATGATTATCGACAAGGGTTGGTATGGTAATTATATTTTTCGGTATGATGCTGCTTTATGACAAAATGTGTTTGAAATTAGCATCATGCTAGTCCCATCCATTATTGCGTAATTAGTGTATTAAGGTGTATCATGCACGCTAGGGGTTGACATTCTGTGGACATTTTTTGGAGGTTATGTGGGTACCCTACTTTTTTAGGCGCTGTATTCTCTACCTTTTCATAAGGTATTTGTAACCTGATTTGGTTTGTTGTCCTTCAATTATTCATGATTATTTTTTTGGATAATGTCCAAATATTTTTTGAATTTCAACCATTATGATGAAGAAAAAACATACATTGTTTTTTGCGTAAAAAGGAATGTGCTTATTAGCATGGATAATTTTCTAATTTAATGTGAAAGAAGCATGCTTTTCTTCTTCTCAGCATGATACTTTGCTCTTTCTGATCTCAATGCCTTCAGATTATCCATCCATTACTTTCATATGGCTGAAATTTCTAATTGCCATTGGCTTTGAAAACTCCCTTCATCTCCAGTTATGATGTCTGAGTACTTCAAAATAATTGCTGAATCTTAATTATATCTTTCCAGCTGTAGATGGTTGAGGCTAATTGCTTCTTTTTGTAAGAATGCAGACAGAATTAAAGTTGCATGTAGATTTATATGATGTATAAACGTCATTATGTGAACTTGTCCCTTGTTAGATTAAGACTCAAGCCATACTCTAAATTTTATCTCATTCTTCTTCATGTACTTACTGTGCAGGGAATAGATCTTTTGGCCGGAGTGGAGGCGATTATAAGTCATCTAGTGGTGAAGGAATTCCAGATTCCCTGTGCACATGCTCCTGCTCTATCACCTGTTCCTCTGAGCATGTCATTGTGTCCAAAAGCAGCTGCTGAAGAGGTGAGTAGATTCTTCACAGTAAACAAAGAAATTATGCATTTGATAAATAAAACAGAAAATGAAAATTAACATGAATAATTTGTTTGGAAAACTTTTTCCGAAAATTATTCTCCAAAATCCAATATTCTGGTGAATTATCAGAATATAATTTCATTGTCCATGCCAAATTGCAAAATGTATTAACAATTTAGTTGTCACTCAGCAAGCATATAAATATGACAATATGTATCCTCCTTTACCAGCATGAACAAAATTCAGCAGAATAGTAAAAACCGGGTTTCATTGGACAACTTTGTTCCTGGCATTTTTATGTGGAAAAATCATATTTTGGTTAGCACGCTGGGGATATTTGATACAAGTTTATGTTATTTTCATACATGATATATACTGAACTATAGAACATGGAAATGAAGAAAATACTTTGGTTTCAGCTGTTCTCTAGAATATGAATGAGCACTACTACCATATATACTGTGATGTTGTTTTAATGTATTTTTTATTCAGTGGTCTCTCTCTCTCTCTCTTTCTCAGAGGAAATTTTGATTTGAATCTTGCCACAGATAGGATACACGTTCTTGCCCTGTGTGCTTGCTGGGCTAAGTAATGCACCACAGTATTTGGTTAAGAACTCCAAGTCCTTGGAAAGGGGTTGCATATTGGCAAGTGATGTTGATAGTGTCATTCTTCCAGCAGATGCTTGTGGAGGGGATGGTGTTATTGCATTCGCAAGTTTTAAACAAAACAAGGTAAAGATTTTATGTAGTAAGCTAATTGCTATTCCCACTTCCTCATTTGACATGTTGGGCAGAATTTGGAAAATGCAGTAATGACATGTTCTCATGCATCTAGCTCTGCAGTCCAGCTCTATATCTTACTACAAGCAATTAGCATTTAGCTACTAGTAATCTTCAAATTACTAACTCTGACTTTGGACAGCCACTTATAATTACTGTGGACGAGAATCGAACAGTTCTCAATGATACACCAGATAAAATTGGCATTGAAGCAGTAAGTATTGAATAATATGCACTTCATTGCTGATTTGTTTTTTTTCTTCCTTTTGACTATTAAAAGAACAACTTTGCAAAAGAATGAAAACAATTTAATTGCCAAAAGTCACCAAAATCTGACATTTTCAGGAATGTAGCAATCTATAGGGTGTGTTTATGATGAATGGTGGCTTCTTTGGCCACTTGTAGTTCAGCTTCTGAGCTGACTAAAGGTCAGAAGAGCATATTACAATGTGATTACTGATTACCCATACTTGTTAAGAGGTGTATTGAAAGAGCATATATCACCTCCTCTCGGAGTGATATTGAATGCGACCATCTTGAATGTTGCAAACATGGTTGTCAAAGTCCTGATCTGTTTTTTTTATAATTCTACGATATCTCAATTCATCTAGACAAAATCAATGCGGACTGTGTAGAAAAGTCCTTGTAGGTTGGATCTTTAAAGATCGTGGAATCTCGATCAGGATTCAATCCTAGTTGATCCAATTTTTAAGCCTTGTTTTGTATTATATGGGCTATTTTATTATTATTTTTATATAAATTTTATGTTTGTTGCCTAAATACCAATTTTACATGGTCCAAATGAATAAATAAGTCATATTAAATCAAAATGACTAAGAAAACTAGTTAATTGAACATTCAAATGTTGCAGTAATGTAGAAAAACTAACTAGTTGAAAGAACACACTCTTTTCATCTCTGTCCCCTTCTCTCCAGTAGATTTTGGCATTATTTATTTGATTATCTTTGTTTTGTTATTTTATTTTTTTGGAGAATTGTTTCTTTTATTCTATGTTTTATTCTCTTTTCATTTTTCAATCTATTTTAAAGCCAACTTTGTTAACTATTTTTCTTTTCCTTTTTATATAATGGTACAGATTGCAAAGTGTTTTATTATAGAACACTTCTCCACTTTCTTTTGATGAAATGCAAAACTTTTACTGAATTTTTTATTGTATAATATTATATTTAAATTTTACATGGAGCATTATATTTTCACATATTTTGACTTCTTTTTAGTATAATTTAGACTTTTTATTTTGTGAATACTTTTAAAAAAATTGTTTATTTAATTTAAATCATTATGCAATTTTTTGGGTAGAATCTTCGATCTGATTTTAATATCCAATTCTATAAACCTCTCCAACTGTCCAATGTAGGATTTGGATTTTGACAACCTTGGTTTCAAATACATAATTTATTTGAGTGACAATGTTATTACACCTGATAGGCCATTAGTGATTTTTTTTTTTCTTGTGCATGTTTAAAATGTTCTTTGGAATTGCTTTAAAAGAGACCTATGAAGCATGGATATTGATATAATCTGATATGGATAAGGAGATACGATAAACCTAAAAAATAGAATATGGGTATGACCAAAATACCTTCTTAAATTTTTTTATTAATTTATAATTTTTAGTATTGTAATATACATAAGTTTTAAGAGTAATTTCCTTTCTTGGGAACAAGATATTAGTTTAAGAGTCAATAGTCAGTTTACTTTTAAATTTTAAGTAGTTCCTACAAAGATTTCATTTCAATATGAAGTTTAAAATGTTTATATTGTCCCTATATATTTTTCTTTCACACTTAAAGTACCATATCAAAATTGCTAGATGCAATTAATCTGTTCATTTAATTGGTAAAATTTGATTTATTATTATTATTTTATTTTCTTATTTATCAATACTGTCTATGAAGTATGAATAAAAATTATGGCATATGGGAAAAAGATAAATTATGTCAATGTTGCAGGTCAAAAAAAGTAGGGCACTATTTTAATTTCACTATTTTCTTCTCCAAGAAAGCAAAGTATTGAAAAACTATTATTGTATTTATCTTAACAATTATACTCTAATGTTGTGCAACAATTGTTAAGAGATGTCAATTTTCTAAGAGTTCGGGTGCATGATATATAGTATCTGAAAATTATTTGATCCTTTTCAAAATTAAAGGAAATTGTAGATATGTTTAGGAAGTATCAGATACATATATGCGACTATTCAAAGAGTATTGGTATTTGATACATATACGACTCTCTTCTAAAAGCATATGTACTTCATAAAAAGCCACCATGTATTGAATTGGTTACTAATTCTTGCTTGAAATTATGCCATTTTAATCATTGAAAGAAATGGGACATCTCTTTCAGGTCAAGGTCTCTAACTATTGGGAAGCCATAGGCGTTATTGCAGCTCATAAGGCAGGAATAGATCCAAATTCTCTCCGAAGAAACAAAATTAGTAACATTCAATGCATTTCTGCCATTTCTTCTAATGGTTCTGCTGTTTCAAGTGCCAGATTATTTGTTTGATTAATGTAAGTAGTGACATTCACTTCTATCCAATTTTGTAGCTTAAATATTTAAAATCAACACTTTCTGATTCACAATACACTGAGCATAATTGTCCTTTTGTATTTGAAAATTACTTTTAGTTCAGTCGCTCGTGTTAGCTATGAATAGAAAAGCATTTTCTGCAAATATTCTTTTAAGTTATTGATGGTATTGGATTTGGTTTAGTGTTAAGTCCAAGCCTTCGAACTCGTACAATATGTTCTGGTGAGCAGTCATGTGATAGATTTGTTGCTGGTGAATAGACAAGGATGAGCGACTATTCAAAGCGTAATACCAACCTCTTGTTAGTCAAAATCCGTAGCTGCTCTAGCCACTTTAAAACATGGACCAATGGAGTTTGATGGGCGGTGCAATTTCAATTTTTATTTTTATTTTTATTTTTAATTTTTAATGAAGGCCATTGAAATTTTCAGTATTGCATGAGTTGCCCGTGATGGAACATGAAACGGTAAGTCAGATTTGAATATATGAAATTTAGTACATCTTTTTTTACTTTTCTATAACCTTGAACTTGTTTTCATCTGGGTAGTGGAACAGTGTTGGTTTTGCGATGTTTGCATCAATTCTCTAGCAATGACAAGGATAAGGTTTGCTTGATGATGATAGTTGGTTGCATGAAGAGCCTAATTTTTTCTTGTTATCATTTTAGTATTATTTTTTTTTATTGTTATTTTTGTGGTATCTGTTGAGCTTTACCTACCAGTAATTGGATAGCTATTTTGTGGTGGGTCATTTTTGGGCATCCAACTACCACTCTACCAAGCAAGCAGTCTTGATATTGAAGACTCTGCAACATGAATTTAAATCATGCTCATATGTAGAAACATACCCTGGATAACAAATTGAATTTAATGTTCATGACTTGTGTCTGCTTATTCTGTGCTGGTGTTATTCACAACTAATTATGCTGAATTTTTTTTTTTTTTTTTTTTTTTTTTTTTTTTTTTTTTTTTTTGTATTGTAAATAAAAAAAAAAAAAAAAGGTAAAGAACCCTAGCTCTGAAGCCGTTTGGCTTCCATCCTGTGTATTCTTGAAGATGGCTGCTGTGCTAACTATAGCCTATCTTTTGAAATATGTTTTCTCACTTGAATATGATTTATTTATTTATTTATTTATTATTTTTAATGGAATTATGATCTTTGTTTGCAACATATTATCAGTTTCCTTTTCGCTCTGAAGTGGAAAATAGTCTGGAAGCATTTCTCTGTGGATAATCAATTTAGGAGGTTGTTATTTGATGTTTTAACAATACATAGCCGTTTTATTGTGAAAGGTGGTTTGCTTCAATGGTAGAACTTACCACCGTTAGTATTCCCGGTGGCACAAATTTGAGTCACATAAATGACTTCTTTATAAATGGGGATAAGGCTGCGTGCATCTTGTTCGTTTAAGATCTCGCTTTAGCAGGAGCAAACTTTTGAGTTAGTGACTTTAATGTTTACCCTAATTAGTTGTTTATTTAGATACTATTAGATTCTCTTGATTTTTGTTGTTCAGTCTTTGATTTCAAGGTTGAAATACCAACATGGTAATCACTTAAAACTTGCAAAGTTAGTGTCATCTTGGCTCTTTTGTTACATTTTGACACAAGATTTCATCAAAGTTAAGCATCAATAAATGTATTAACAAACATAAACTAAACGTTCAGTAGACCTTGCGTGAGGTGGGTGGAATGCACATGCAATTCTGATGTTTTTAGTTGGTATATTTGTTAGTGTTCTTTGTATTACTAGAACTGGATAAATTGTGGGTAACAAATTTATAAGAAATATTTAGTTCAATATTTATTTCATGGTCCAGGACTTTCATGGTATTTTCGGTTCCAACCACTATTAATGCCACTAATTCAACTGGAGTGAGGTTCAAAGTTTGACATTTTCACGTAAGGTCTTGAATAGGAAATACCTCAATTTTTATTTTAGGATTAATCATACAAAGACTTCTCAACTATTAACTGATTTTACTTTATCTCATTCATTTATGAATTTGTATATATTGACTCCATCAATTCTAAAAATATATCACTTTCATTCTCTCTAGACCAATTTTAAAAGGGGATGTATCTATATGAATTTGTAATTGAGAGGGTTATAATGTATTAGTTTATAAATGAGGAAGGCAAAGTGATATTACTAATAGTTAATGAAGCTTTAATGCAATTATCCCTTAATTTTTACCTGACTGATAATGAGTGTACCAAAAAAAATGAAATAAAGTGAAGTGGTCCCAAATTGGTGAATAATTTTTTGGATCAAGTTAGAATTTGGACAAACATGTCATGTCAATAATTCTCAACCATTTAACTAAAGAAATAAAACAATCAAATATTGGCATTTACTTATTGTTTTTTTTGTGTTTTGGATCAATACTTTACTCATTGGTTGAGTAGTTGTGAATTGTCAACTATTGGATTGTTACAAGTGTGACATGAGATGAAGAGAGAGCCACACTACAGTATCTACACAACATTGTTGTTAGTATTATTATTAGAGTAATAGTTTCATATATAATGATGTGATTTATTATGAATTTTTCATTTTAAAATAAGATATCATTTAAGATGAATTTATTTATAATAATGATATTACCATATCATTTTTACTAATTTTTATATATAAATTTTATGTAAAAATAAAGTTTTTCTTATTATTATTATTATCATTGTGTTTGTACATGTTTGGATGCAAATATCAAATTTTAAATGGAATCTCAGTGGACAAGAAAAAATGTATATGTATCAAATATGTGATTTGATTTGTGTGTGTCTGTGTGTGTGTCACAGGATAAGATATTAGTGGTATTGTTGGTGTTACCAACAAACAAGAGACAAATGATAATTAAAATTAGGTTGAGTCACGTGTAGTTTTACATAGTGGTTCATCATTCACTCTAAGATTAAGCATTGCATAATGATTATAATGAGGTTGACCACACTAAAATTAGATTAAATCAAACTCACCCTCCTATTATTATTAATTTTATCAATGAATGTCAGTTATTAATTGTTATATTAGTATCTACGAGAGTTAGTTTCTCCACCTTTTACAAAGCACAAAATACTTTTCTTCTTAATTTAATTTCTCTAAGAGTATTGAACTCATGACCTCCCTTAAAGATTAAATTCTTAGAAAAGTTATGATAACTAGGTTAGGCCTAGTTGCTGTTTGTTTGTTTGTTTGTTGTTGTTGTTGTTGTTTTTTTCTTTTTCTTTAATAGAGGCTAGCCTAGTTGGACCTCCCTTAAAGATTAAATTCTTAGAAAAGTTATGATAACTAGGTTAGGCCTAGTTGCTGTTTGTTTGTTTGTTTGTTTGTTGTTGTTGTTGTTGTTTTTTTTTTTTTTTTCTTTAATAGAGGCTAGCCTAGTTGGTTCACCCTACTATTATTGTTATATTTGCTTGTTAGATAAACCCAAGAGGTTTGATTTAGTGGATAGAGAGAGCAATCAAAGGAGTGCCTCTATTTACACACCACATTTCATCTCAAAGCATACCACTACTCAAGGCACATCTTTAGTAATTTGATAAATAAGAAATTTTCTCAATACACACCACAATCTTTCATCTTTGCCCTTACTCACACACCCCACCCACAATCTTACATTTTTACCCTTACTCACTCATAGACTACACCTACGATCTTCAATCTTCCATTTCCTTAAAAAAATTTATTACATCTTTATCCTTCTAGTCAGTTACATTTTTAACATTCATACAAATTTCTCAATCCACACAATACAAATTTTATTATGAGTTGCAATGTCAGCAATGAAGGAAAGGGCAACGCGAGATGCTGCCATGGCAAGAACGCAAATGGATTGGGGATGGAAACAGAAAAGGGGATGGTGTCGGTCGGAGGGTAACGGCGGCAGGAAGAGGTAGGATGGCTAACGGCAATGGTTGATGGCGGTGGCGGTTGCGAGGTAGAGTTAGAGTTAGGGTTAGGGTTAGGGTTATGGTTATGGTTAGAGAATATGAGGATATTTTGGAAATTTTTAAAAATTGATAGTGTGTATTGAGTGAAAAATAAAAAATCAAAATTGGGTGTAGTGTGCAATGAGTAATTGGTGTGTATTACGTAAGGTGTGTATCATAACCCTTTATTCTTTGTGGTCATTTTACATTAGGTTAATATTGTAATAAAAAATAAACTAATTAATGGTGTGTCTTGAGATGAAATGTGGTGTGCAAATAGAAACACCCCAATCAAAGGGCTTATTACTTAAGAGGTTGCATATTCAAAATTCATGAAGGCTAAACATTCCAAATTTTGGGATTACTAGAGGTTTGCCCAGTCGTTAATTTCAGGACTCTGAGATTTAGTTGAGATATATATATATAAGCTGGTCTAGACACCTTATTATAAATATATATATATATATATATTTATTTGCATGCTAGATTTTTGAAGTTTTGGTTATATGTTGTCTCTTAATTATAGATAAGATCTCATGCAGTCTCATTTTGCTTCTTCTCCTAATAACAATTTTTTGGGTCTTGATTTTTTTTTTCTTTCTATATTTTTTTACATGATGTTCAAACTTTTGTATTAAGTAATTATAGAAATAAAGTCTTAAAAATAATCTCAAAAGAAAATGAGAAATGTAACAGTTATGCTCATAGCCACAATCTTTCATCATAGGCCTTTACCAAATTCAAACAAACCAATTGGCTGGTTTGATAAATATTTTAGTTAAAAAGTAAAAAAAATAAAAAAAAATCAATTCCTAAAAAAGTCAAATATTCCTTCTCATTCACTTAATTTTTTTTTTTTTTTTTTTTTTCTCTCTCCCTTAATTTTTTTTTTTTTTTTTGTATATTTTTTCTTAAGAAGTCAAAAGAGTCCTTGCCAAATATATATCTTAGTTTTTTTGGAGTAATTACAAAAAATAAAAACACTAGAGTTTGACTCTTATAACAAGATAAATATTGATTTTTTAATTTTATCAATTTAAATTCAAATCTTTTGATTTATTTTCAATCTAAACTATTTATTTATTTTTTTTAAGTAAAATCGACGAAAAAAATAATATTTTAACTATTAAACTCAATATAGGTGTACATAAATTGTCTAAAGTACCTTTTTTGTTAAGTGTAATGACTAAATTATAATTTTTTTTGTTGATTTTTCTTAACGGAAATAAACAAATAGTTTTGATTGAAAACAAATTAAAAGATTAAAATTTAAATTGATAAAATTTAAAACTCAAGATTTCTTCTGTTACAAGAGTCAAACTCTCGGATTTTCTTTGTAATTTTCCTTAATTTTTTTTGTATCTCATATTGTTTTTTAACTATTATATAAACTACTAAAAAGTCATTTCCGAGTTTAAAGATTAACATCTCCACTATAAGCCAAATTTTCACACAACATCCCCTTGCAATTCAAACAAACCATAGCCCTTAAAAATTTCACGTCATTACCAACGGGTAATATAATATATCAATAATACAAATTATACATAAGAGTGGGAATCCTATTATTTATATGTAGTTATTTATTTAAAAATAATTAACTGTGACAAATACATAGTGGGATTTGTTGCGTTTATATATGTTAGGTTCACATATTAAGTGGCCTTTTGAGAACTTGGCAAGAAGCTGCATTTTGCAGCATTCCACAAATGTAACACGCAGCATAAAAAAGCAATAAGTAGCTTGATTTGGGAAACGGCAAAAGCGCAAGTGGTGAATTTACATAATTGCTCTCCATGAAATTACATACTTATTCAAACAATCACATGGGTTAAAAAGTAAATTTCTTAAGTTTGGTGGGGTATTTCGGTTATTTTAATGTGATGTGATACCATAAATAAATATTATACAAAAAAAGTAAAAAAATAACTTTTTCTCAACTTCCCAAACCACCTTTCAAAAAA